AGAATACGATATTTCACCAAGGTGAGATTCGTAAGAATCCAGAAAATTGTCCAAAAATGGGTCGCTGACAATAAATTTGGAGAATATTAGCATTTTTTCTCGGAGCCTTGTGTAGTTTCTGAAATTAAATTTATCTAAGCTTCATCACAGCATTTTATTTGGTTCAGATTGTTCGATGTATCACTAAGATTAGGAAATGAATAAATATGAGAAAACTAGTTGACTACAGTACGATATACTGAGTCAGTTGACTGAATGGAAGAAGCTTTTCTTACCACTTACTGCATTGTAGGGCAATGCACTTTTACCGTAAAAGAACAACTTTGCCCTGAAATGTAACATCAGCGAAATATTGTATGAACAAGCTGATGCACTGTAGATAATCTCTATTATAGCTTCAAAATCTGTAAAAGCAGTTATACCGAATATTTTGTGCGTACATGTGAATTTTTGTGTGTTTAATTTGTGTGCCAGCTGCGTGTGAGCATGTGTGAGGAAGTATTCGTGTCGATGAATTAACGAAGGTAAACCAGCGCATTTTTTTCTGTCTGACGTAGTAATCAAGGATTCAGGAAGCGCCATTTCCGGCGCTTCTTATTTATCCTAGTAGGGTTATGTTTTGTCCTTCAGTCAACCGGCTTCACTGTTCATTGCGGAACATAATGCAAAAATGAATTGATTTCTTTGAATTCTGGTGAATGTTCGCGCCGATTCCAGTGCTTTTTATATCTGGGAGTAGAAGTTTAAATGATCCACGTGACTCCAACTAATTTTGATAGACACCGAATTAAATCTGCGCCAAGTTTGCAAAGTAAATTTCTATTCATAATCAGAAATATTTCACTAATGTCTGAATGCTTCTTTCCAGAAGCCAACTTCAGAAAGTTTTTGAAACACGACTCAAATTATAATAATTGACAAGTTTCAGTGGGAATAATTTCCCTGTGTCTATATTCAGCACTGATTACATGAGCCCGTCACAGTGTGAACAGTTATTTCTTGATAACCGCTTCGATTTTCAGTCTGGAACTTTGTGATGCTGAGGTCCGTGATTCACTGCTCGTGACAGTTCACCAAATATTATAAGATTCAAATCACAGAAATATATTTTCAAAAGAGATGTTTTAATGCTATCCTCAAATATAATCATTTCAAGCATATGAAAACGAGAGGGTATCAAAAAGCCTTTCAACATTAGAAACACATACTTAAAAAAGGACTCTTGAAAGGACGTCTATAAGCGTGTGACTGTCGAAGTGTCGTGTGATATTTGGGCAGAAAATGTATACTGTACATCTCCAAAAAACTGGAATTGCTCAGCGATGTCCAAAGCTAGATAATTTGTGCGATTTTATTATTAATCAGTGGTTAACTTGAGGAACATTTTTGTATTAAAGATATAATCAAAGATTACATGTGCGGGCCATATTTTTCTGCAACGGTAATAAGCTGAATTTGACGCGGACTTCGAAGATGATTAGGAAGAAGTAGTAGAACTTGGACGAGTAAAGAGGCCTGGGGGGATTTATGGAAGTTCATTTTCGTTCCTCTGATGTCCAAAGTCGTTCCACCTTAAATTCGCAAGAATGAAAAAAATCTTCCTTTGGTTTTTTTCTTGATTTCCTGGTCGAAGAAGTCCTATCATCACCAGGGATAAATACGATTTCTGAGGAATTTTCAGCGTGATGAATTCTAGCTTAAAATACAGATCGTGCAGTGAACGTGCGAAGATCTTAATGGCAAATATTTTGGCCATGTGTTTATTTATGAGTATCCATCGATAACCTGGGAAGTTCAGTTTGAGGAGCTCGTAAGACGTTGCGCCGCGTCACCGACAATTCCGAGGTCGACAGCGCGCACACTCCGACCGTGTCGCACCTTCGGGGCTTCCCGACGGTCGACACTGCAGTCTTCCATCCCGGAAACTCCGGGCTGGACCCGTTGGAATGTCTGGATTCGCGCATTTTTTCCTGCATTTTCTTGCTCTTTTTGTTTGGTTAAATGCTGCCACTCTTGCAGGGCAAATTCGAGGCGAAATTGAGTTGTCTGAAGTATAAAGACTTCGCTGCGTGCGTTTTTCCAGTTTTGATTGACTTTAGGTTCGGGAATGAGTGATTCTGATCCATTTATCTTGCTTCTGTGCTGATTTTCAAGTGAAATATTATCCAGGCCTCGTAGCCACATATACTGAACTATAGGCAAACCGTTTGCGTAGTTTTTTTCTGCGAGTGTGACTTCGATTAAGCATGTTGCGCGCGTTCCCTCTTTATCTCTCTTTTTTTTCGTTCACTCAAGTAAAGAATGGCAACATATGCCATGCTACGAGTGGCTGCATAGTTTCCGTGCCGTGAAACCATTGCATTTTTGTCTCCAAATACGATTTTAGTTGACCAGATTTTCCCTGTCCCCGTTTTTCTGGGTATTTTATGTTGCCTCTCCTGCAGGTCGAATCAAAGCCAGCACTAAACAGACGCAGAAGTAATTTGCGTCTCTTCAGCTTTCGTTGAACACCAAGAAGTTGAAGTTAAATGTGAATTATGTGAATCACAAATCAGAAAAATACGAATTTTCCTTTCTACGTGTTCCCCTTTCGTTGAGAACTCAGCCAGGTTAGCCGCAATATATTTGCAGAAATGGAAATATATTCTGTCGATTAGAACGAATTAATTTTCCGAGTTATGGATCATGGCTCACCAAACTTAATCACTTGAATTAAGTTAAGAAAATGCATGAATGGGTTCGTATATAACCCGCAGGTTAAAAATCTCATAATAAGCAGAATTTTTCACATCCTGCGTCACGTCTCCCGCAAAATTTGAGCAGATCAGAATGCAATAATTGGCGTATACGTGAAGTGCATTCGACAAACCGTTTGAAAAGATGACACACGTATGCACATTCATTTACACTCGGATGTGCCTCATCAATTTTATGAAATTTTTGTTTTAGATGCGAGTGAAACTCACGTATGATCAATCGTGTCTGATGATTATTACTTGCATCATATTTCTGTTCACGCACAAATGTCAGCCAATCCCATCGTGGTAATATGAAAAATAGTAATTGCATGTACATGTACGACTGTATACAATTGAGAAATTTTTTTAGTAGAAACGCGTGAACTGTTGTGTTCGTGATTCATCATTGTATGGCAGGCGAGTTACTTTAACGCGTGCTTTTACAATCTAAGCTCATTGAGTCACATTAAACCCAGGAAAATTCTTAAATATGAAAACCCCTCGCGCTTTGCAGACACAGCATTATTTTTCATTCGTAAATTGGAGTCATCAATATACTGTACATTATTATTATGCAAATCATGGCGTACATGAAGTGCCCCCGATGAACAGTTCATGCATATTGCATGCACAAATACGCATTGCTTTGATGACTCCGTGCTGTTGATAGTGACATCGTATCATCGAATGAAAGCCATTCACTCTTACCAGCCATCAGAACTGTTCTTATCTGTCGATGCACCAGTATCGAATTGTTATCAGAGACCCAGCTTTGAGAGCTGCTAAGCATTTGAATTTGATACCCCGAGGCTAATGACATGGTTCGGTCCACTGGCAAGGAAGTAACTTGCCTGACCATGGACGTAGAAACAGAATGGGAAAACCCAGTGAAGCAAGCTTCTTGATTCATCCCCAGCAGACAGCTGGATGTACAGTAGACACAGTTCATTTCAGTACACGGTCAATGTCGCGACCGTCAGGCAGGTTTCAGAACGTTTCTTTGAGTCTCCAACGGATTTTAGGCATTTTTCTGTGATTTTGGAATCATTTTATGCGAAGAGATACTCAGCGATGAGTAGCTGATTTCATTTTACTGTTCAGACGATCTTCAAGGGTGTCGAGATGAATTTCCCCACATGAATTACCTCAAGCAAAGTGAACATTGATTAACACTCTTTTAATGTTAGGAATATTGTGCGACTTTCTTGAAGAAAAAAATAACTAGAGCGATGGTGATATTTGTTTGTATTGAAAATGTAGTTCGAGCATGAGATGGTTCACATATATTCCACATTGAGTGAACTACGGTATTTTAACATCTTGCGCAGACTATATATATGGTCTATATATATATGATTATCACTTTAGTCTCATACAATCGGTATTCAACCTCGAGATTATGCACTTTCAACATACAGTAATATATTATTTCAGATAAATTACCCAGTATTGGATTCATGTTAACAACTTTCGATGTATCTGTCTTCCCCTTGATATGGCTGTTTGCTGTTTAGAATATAATATAGTACTGTACAAAATTTAAGAATTGAAAATTAGCATGTTTTTCTGCAGAGGCCGAATTTATAAACTTAATATTTTTAAATCACTTGCCACCATCAATGCAGTTTTTTCCTGAAAAAGGTGCCCCAAAAGCAAGTTTTTACTTTGATAGGTACACTTTCAGCACTAGGCTTTTTTTATGAAAAAACGTTTCCTCTGGATAACTTAAATTAAAATAAGGGCACTTTTCGAACGTAACCGGAAAATTGTAGAGAATGATGTCAAATCTACTGACATTCTCGTAAATCTTCACGTGAGTTAGTGGGTTTCACGAATCGATGCTACGAAAAGAATTATTTAGATCGGGAAAAAATCGTTATCTCTGTATAACGATTTTTGTGGTCCCGTGCTGGAATAAGGCCTTTCAGTGTTATTAATCGGAGCCCAGACGATTTCCGCTCTTCTGTAGGTCCTTATGCAGGGGATCAGCTGAGGTTTATTGGGAGATCAGATTTATTTGAAAATGAAAGTTGGTTGTTACTGTATTCTTGCAGAAGTGACCCAAGCAGAGCCTGGGTTGACACCGTGGAACGATCCGGCGTAAATGAGTTGCTGTGGTAGTTTAGGATTCCGTACCAAGAACACTCCGTCTCAGAAAACATCCTTGCGCTGGGGAGACTGCTGTTCCGTCGTCCAGGCCTAGGCGAGCAGGGAACCATGGTGTCTGTGAATGCGAGATCCGTTGTTGCCAACTAAGAGTCGCCCCCGACTTTTTTTGCTTTTTTTTTTGCGGCGACGCGAGGCGTCGGGTGGCGGCCTTGTTACCGATTGCGCGGTGCCACGTCACCGGACTTTCCGAAGGGCTTTCAAGTCGAGACTGCAGACAAAATTTGCGTCTTCCAAGTTGTGGTGAATTTTCCGGATTTCTCCCTTCCAGGAACCCGCAACCCCGGCTTCACCTTTGTGAGTGACGTTCATAAGAATACTGTAATGCATTGTCTGCCAGTACGTTGGGTGAAGTAACTAATAAGAGCGCTGCTGCGTAAAGAAATCGACTTCGCTTTATTTAGTTCAGGAGCAGCACTTTTTTATTACGACACATTTGCTGCATCCGTCGAAGCGAATTCCACCGAGAAGAAGCAGTACAGGTGGACTCTTTCTACAAAGAATTTCTCTGCATAATATTTTTCCCCCATGGGGTTCTCTACACTCAACGAAACGAAATTCTCCCTGTGCATCGTATTTTTTCTGGTTCTTGAATTTCGTTGTAGAGAAAGAGTCCACCTGTATGGCAAAATTGAATAGGTTTTGCAGGACGATTAATGAAAGGAAGATTGGAAATTTTATTTTAATCAAAATGTTAACCTAAATACTCTATACTTGTTGCAGGTTCTATATATACGGAAATTACCCATTTTATTTCCTTCCAGGAACAAGTGGTGATTTTCTCCCTCTGCAGCTGTTCCTTGTTTTTCTCCTATGCAAAACGACGTCCGCATTAATGCGTGACGCTTTTCCCTGTAGAAGGCCAATTCTTATGACATTACGTAACAGACGGTCATGCAACCCACTTCATTGATTATTCTCGCGACGACGCATTTCTTTAGCTGAAGCGAAATAAATCAAGTCCTCGTCGTGAAAAAATAATGCTGTGTAAACATGCATCCGTCGAAGCGAATTCCACCGAGAAGAAGCAGTACAGGTGGACTCTTTCTACCAAGATTTTTTCTGCATAATATTTTTTTCCCCATATGGTTCTCTATACCCAACGAAAAGAAATTCTCCCTGTGCATCGTATTTTTTCTGGTCCTTGAATTTCGTTTTAGAAAAAGAGTCCACCTGAATGGATAAATTGGATAGGTTTTGCAGGACGATTAATGAAAGGAAGATTGGAAATTTGATTTAAATCAAAATGAAAGGGGAAAAATAAGGAATATGTTCTTGTAACAAATATTTAAATACATTTTTAAGAAAATAACAGCAGGGCTGAAAATGTCTTGCTATAGGTGCCTGAATTGGGATTGCTTTCACGAGTCAACAGTATTTTGAGACAGGCTTTAAATCAGCCAATTTTTCTGAAGCAATATAAAAAAGGATTATAAGGCAATGAGGAAGATTATTTTCCGGCATTTTCTCCATAATGACATTTTTAGTGAGTCCATAAAATCCTGTATAATATGAGTTATTTTCATTTTTAAAATCTGAAATTTTTGAAAACGCTCGAAGAAAATCTAGATGCGTTTAATTACCGATTTCCTCATGCACAGTCTTCAAAAGATGTCAGCGCAAACATTGATTCAAAATCAGCACTTATTGATACAGTACTATAGCAATATATCCTGAACTACATGTGAGGCTGCAGTAAAGTATCTATAATTAGGGCATCATTTTTTTCAGCCTAGTTTCCATTTTAAAACATTGTTTGGGATAAAATATAAAAAAACAGATGTTTTAAATTCGGGTCGGGTTTACCTTTTCGCAAAATTTTCTTAGTGAGTTAATTTTGATGTTTGAGGCAGCGCAATAGTTTCTTACATTCGCAAAATATTTTAGTTAGCTGATGAAGGTTAAGGTCGATTGCTTCTTCGATTCACATGAATATGGTATGTGCCATGATCAAATTTAAGTTGCATTCAAGGTTTGATGAGCACTTCGATTTTTTTACATATTTTTAATCACTGTCCGAGAAGGTATCCATCGGCTTATTAGGACGTGAGAGATTTGCTAATGGCCAAACACGTATGCATGGGTTTCAGGTCTAAGGAATTCCTCACCCAAGAAACAATAAGCTATCAAAATGTTCAACTTTTTCGGCCTCATTTCCATCATCATCTTCTACGTCCTGATTTTGATGGTCGGCATTTGGGCTGGTCGCAAACGGGACAAAGATGGTGACTCCGAGGAAGAAGTAATGCTTGCTGGCCGGAACATCGGCCTCTTCGTCGGCATTTTTACCATGACTGGTGAGAATAACAGAAAACCCATACCCTAAAAAGTTTTCCAAAGTTTTGGGGATACCAAGTCCTTGACCTTTCCGGGATTTGTTTGCGTATAGCTACCTGGGTCGGCGGCGGTTACATTAACGGCACGGCTGAAATGGTCCTGACACAGGGTGTTTTGTGGTGCCAGGCTCCCTTCGGATACTCCCTCAGTCTAGTATTTGGTAAGCCATGATTTGACATATTTTCATATGGATAAAATCTCATCTATGAGTTCCAAATAGGTGGGATATTCTTTGCGAATAAAATGCGAGAGCAAGGATACGTAACCATGCTGGATCCTCTGCAAGATTGTTTCGGGGAACGAATGGGTGGACTGCTCTTCATTCCAGCACTTTGCGGAGAAACTTTCTGGTCCGCTGCCATTCTTGCTGCTCTCGGTAATTATGCATTATTGAATAATTAACGCGACATCTGTCGTCCATCGAAAGTTTGGTTTAGAATAGCTTTTTTCTATTACTAAAGGAGCCCAGGAAAGCCGTGGAAAATGGAGGAGATATGTATTACTCAATAAAGCACTTCTTTTTCGAGAGAAATTTGCCACACAAAAAAATAATAACTCAGAACAGCCTCTATTTCCTTTTTTTCTATGGATCTGTGCAGAAATGTGCCCAACACTCGAAATAATTTGTCAGATTTCAACTATGATGCACAGAATGAAGCAAACAATTACTTGAAGTTCAATTTGATAAAAATCAAGTCTTGCTCCGTCAAGATGAACGAAATAGTGTGTGAAAATGCGTCACTGAATAGTTCAGAGACGGAATGCGATTTCTCATTGTTTTTCCACGCATAGGCGTCAGTTTTCACTCCGAAATTACGTATTTTCTTCACCCTACATCCAGTTATTCCTTCTAAAAAAAAGACTGCAAAAATTGAGAGAGTTGCTTATAATTGCGTAGTCATTTTAATATTGATTTACATCGTCCCTTTTTCGACAGGTGCGACATTGACGGTTATTGTTGACATTGATCACAAGGTGTCAGTGATTGTTAGCGCCTGCATTGCGATCTTCTACACGCTTTTTGGTGGGCTTTACAGTGTTGCCTACACGGATGTCATCCAGTTGATCTCAATCTTCATAGGATTGGTGAGACGAGTTTCTGTGTACCTGTGTACTTGAGGAGCTCATTTGCAAATTTTCTGTTTGGGGTCACAGTGGCTTTGCATTCCGTTCGCATGGAATCATCCGGCTGTCGGTGACGTCAGTCCATCCCAGCAAGACTGGCTTGGAACCGTGAACAAAGAGGATTACGGGATTTATTTTGACACCTGGATGCTGCTAATTTTCGGTGGAATACCATGGCAGGTTCGGAAGTGCATCAAGCATGGCATTTGGCAGAATTTAAAATTTTTCGTGGTGTTTTTCAGGTTTATTTTCAGCGTGTGTTGTCCAGCAAGTCAGCGAAAAGATCTCAAATTCTCTCATACGTCGCTGCAGTTGGATGCGTTGTCATGGCGATCCCGTCGATCATCATCGGAGGAATTTCCAAGGCAACTGGTTAGTCACTGTCTTTGGGGTTTGTTTTTTTTTGGCGAAAATTTTCAGACAATTATTTTTTCGTAGCATGGGACGAGACAGCGTTTTGCAACAAGTCAGCCACCAATTGCGTGGATGGCAGGATTTCTCCTCAGCAAGCCAGCATGGTTCTACCGATTGTTTTGCAATACCTCACCCCGGGTTTCATCTCTTTTGTCGGCCTCGGGGCCGTAAGTGCAGCTGTAATGTCCAGCGCTGACTCTTCTGTGTTGGGAGCCAGTTCTATGTTCGCCAGGAACGTGTACAAACTTGTCTTTAGGCCAAGGGTGAGTTCAGAGAAAGCGTTTTTTTCTCGTTATAATTGACCTTTCTGAACTCGGCGGATTTTCTTTCAGGCCTCCGAGGCAGAAATCATGTGGGTCATGAAGATCTCTATATTCGTTGTCGGGGGTCTTGCGACAATTATGGCGCTAACGATTAATTCTATCTACGGACTCTGGTACGATATAGATTTGTTAGTTATTTTTTCTGATTGACTGGAAAACATACAGCTGCGTTTTTCTTTAACTTTAAATAGGTACCTGTGCTCGGATATCGTATACGTCATATTGTTCCCGCAATTGCTGATGGTGGTGCATTTCAAGCACTTGTGCAACACCTACGGGAGTTTAGCTGCGTATATTGTGGGAGCTTTCTTCAGGATCGCCGGAGGGGAAGACATGCTGATGCTGCCTCCGTTGATCAAGTATCCCTACTATGATTATGAGAACAAAGCCCAAAAGTTCCCGTTCAGGACACTGTCGATGACACTCTCCCTACTAACCCTGCTGGTCGTTTCCTGGGTCTTCCGATATTTGTTCGAGAAGGGGAAGCTTCCTCAAAACTACGACGTTTTCAGGTGAACGAGAGAATTTCCCTGCAACAAAATTTGCCACTCGTTACGCTTAAAAATCGCCATTTTTGAGTTACACACATTCTGGAAGGGATTTTTGCAAATAGTGCAAAAATTCCTACGTACAAATTCGATTTCACGGAAAAGGCAAGAGACTGGTTTAAATTAATTCTCTAACCATCAGCAGTCGCTCTCTTGAGCTGACTCAAACACACGAGAGCTTGCTGTTGTCAAGTATTATTCTTCGAATTTTTTTGGGTATAACGATAAATATGAGTATTCTGGAAGGGGTTTTTGGAAATAGTGCAACAATCCCTGGGTACAAATTCAATTTCACGGAAAAGGCAAGAGACTGGTTTAAATTGATTCTCTAGCCATCAGTCGCTCTCTTGAGCTGACTCAAACTTGCTCGACGAATATTTGTACCTTTGCCGTCCTAAAATGTATCTTCACTGAACATTATTGAACAACAGAGTGAAAGATGAAAAAAAACCCGGGTTCCTCGTATCATTTAGGTAAAAAAAAATGAATCAATGTGCTTTCCAAGGACTAAGACAGAGAATTCATCAGCCCTAGTTATTCATTTTTTAGAAATTTATGTCAGTCAGCACTTCCCTCCAAACAAAATATTCATATTCATACAAGGTAGTTGATGTTTTCGATGAACATTCGTAGTCGAAACAACTCTGCTGACCAAGATCTCAGAAATCAGTTTAAAATTGATGAGATAAAAAGCTATACCAATTCTGAGACATGCAGCTCACATTCCATTGGTGTGTCTTGGATTTGAAATTCATTATATTCAAAAATAACCTTTTATGCAACTATATAATCTTTTTAGCTGATTGTGGGAGAACATTTTTATATAATGTCAGTCTTTCTTTCGGGGAAACATGCAGCTGGCGTCTTTATCGATTCGTTTATGAGCTCTTCATAATTTAAAAGGCCTGCATTGTATTCGATTTCCTGCGCACGATAAAATAATGCAGCGAACTCGTTCCTGGCATTATTGGTTTAGGTGCATCGTCAACATTCCCGAAGACACCCAGAGGGTTGCGGAGCCAACCGAAGGCGAGATGGCAGTCATGAACCACTCGCTGATGAAAAGGTATTCATCGACGGAGGAGGCGAACGGGAGGGTGAACCCAGCCCTGGATCTCGACAGCGAAAGCGACACCAGTCCCCGAACTGAGCACCCCATCAAGGTGCCAGGCGGGATCCCGATCGAGAACGAGTTACCCGTTTCCAAGCAGAAGAAGTTCCAGGACAAGACGAACGTGGTGTCACCGTCGAAAATCCCCCTGACTTCCGGGGAACCCGCTGCGAGGAACCAGACAAAGTTCTAGACAGCTTTCCGGACGTGTCATGTACCACAGGGCTTTCATTCTCCAGGAGTTCTGCTCGCTATATAAAGTTGTTTCATATCGAGAGACGCGACGAGCGCCAAGCACAGTGTCTTGGAATGATCTCAAAGCAATTACTAGCAAATCCGCCGAAAGCGAAGGAAAATCCAGTCCAGACTCAGTTGCCTGCTAGTACTTTCACAAATCGTCCCGCATTTCTAGTCTTTCAACAGAACGATTACCAGGAAACTATGAAAGCATGGTTGCTGTGAGGAAGGCTTAAACTTAATCGGGTGAGGATGATTACACTGTGCAGATATCGGCGATTACCATGTCGAGCACTGGCGATATTGAGTGGCTGTATAGCTTGAGTTATTGGATGTTCAGTCTGCTTCTGTAAATTTAACACGAGGATAAGTTGATTTACAGGGACTGCATTCCATTCCGAACAACGAATTTCAGTGAACATCACAAGAAAAAAGAACATGTTCGGAAGGCAGGTCGAGCGTGGCTTTAATTTCGGTCAACTTCTGTATACTGGTTTTTGTCTCGGACGTGATGTAATCGGCTTCAAACGCAAGCCGAAACCTTGTTGGTCAAAAAGCAGATAAAAGTAGATCAAAACTTCTGGTGGTGCTATGCTCTGCAGTCACTCTAGAACAAGAAGAAAGAAGGTTCGAAGACATCGGGGAAAATCTCATGCTTCGCAGTGACACGAAAATTCGAGTTACCACAAGAAGGATATACTGCGTGCGTTTGCATCGCTTGCGGGCGTGGTACATAGGGATTATAAGATTATAGTCTTGGTATCCAGGGCATGGCTCATGGCAGAATAATGTTTCAGTGATGCGCAACTTCGTATCATACGCTTTTCATGGTGTTTTATGCATGCAGACAGTCGATCATGACGCCTGCTGACAAATATCTTTGATCTTGAAAGTGTCCTGCTTTTGTTGCAGGGAAAAGCGAGAGTTCACTTGCCGGAATCCTCAGTTTGTTGTTAGACCTCATCCGCGAATTTATTTTTGATTGTTCGTGACATTTTTTGTGCAGAGATTTTGAGATAGAAGTATTGATAGCACATTGTTGACCCGCTTTGGTCGCAGTTTCAACAGGAAGCAATGCACGGAAGGCCAGAAAACTTTCCCAACCAAACAGAATTTCCCTGTGTTGTTGAAGCAATTTTTTTTAGTACACCGATTTGCGGCATAACTGTGCATATCAAGAAAGGATTCCGAAAACTATGTTCTAACAAGGATGAATGTATGTTGTTGAAGTACATTGATGTTGCATCGATTATTACGTTGCTGTTCAATACGTCACGTGACATTTTGCGAAAGAAAAAAAAAAGAAAACTGCACAGGATCGGTATATCAAAATACTGTATTCACAATGATTCCACTCAATCAACAGAGGAAGACAAGGTGATCTTTCAAGACCAGCGAAAAGGAGTTTCTCTGAAACGGAATTGAGGAAATGTTCCCCAACAAAATGTACAGATTTCGTGACAGTGGGTTAACGCGAAATCATCAAAATCGAAGCGTAAGTTGCACAATTTAATAATAGCCACCTTCGAGCTGGATTTGACTTCTCGTCCCTCAAATCCGCCGAGTTTGTATTCTTCGTTTGTAGCAAAAAACCTTCGTAGAAAAATAATGTAGTTGATTGATTGGATGTTGAAAAAAATGACACTCAACAAGCTGAAAAAGTACTTCAAACCTCCGCTTAACAAAATGTAAACTTCTCAGTCTCAACAATCCCCTTCAAGCAATGCGAAATGCATCCCTTTCGACACTCCCAGAGTCGGGGAGTATTCAATGCATGAAAGACAGTAGCTCATGGCTCTGCAGCCTTGAATCCGCGACGGAATTTAATGCTTGCAGCCATAGGTAACTTGCCAGGCCATTCCATCAATCCACCAAATACAAGAAACGTGCCGTATGCAAAACAGGGGTTTTAAAAAGAGGATCCATAGCCCTTGGTTTTCTTTGGTGCGGCCTTCTTGGGTGCGCCGTAAGATGGCTGAGGTCTCGGGGCTCCGTAGCTCGGCGACGGCGCAGCCTTTTTCGGGGCTCCGTAAGTGGCAATTGGGGCAGGTCTGGGTGCACCGTAAGAGGGCCTGGGTGCTGCCTTCGGGGCACCGTAAGAGCTCTGCGGGCGCCGGGCGGGGGCGCCGTAGCTTGGTGCCGGGGCTGCTTTTGCGGGGGCGCCGTAGCTTGGTGCCGGGGCTGCTTTAGCAGGGGCGCCGTAGCTTGGACGGGGGGCTCCGTAGGACGCCTTCGGCGCCGGAGCTGGACGAGATGGTGCCCCGTACGAGGCCTTGGGCGCCGGAGCTGGGCGGGATGGTGCTCCGTAGGAAGCCTTGGGTGCGGGTGCGGGGCGCGATGGCGCTCCGTAAGAGGATTTCGGGGCGCTGTAGGACGACTGCGGGGCTGGTGCAGGTCTTGATGGTGCGCTGTAGGATGACTGCGGCGCAGAATACGAGGACTGAGGAGCAGGTGCAGGTGCTGAGTATGATCCGCTTCCTGTAAAAGAACAAACAAAGGACATCAAAGCATATTGCTGCTCCATACACTGGGGTTTGAACCAATAAACGATCCCCGAATCAGAACCGATTTATAAAAAAATCATAGGATTTCTTAAGAGAAGGTTTCCGTAAATCAAGCTCTGGAGAAAAAAATTGGCAGCGATTTTCGATTGAAAATTTCTATCAGTCGATCATCTGAAAAACGCTTTAGCTTCGTTCCTTGCCGCGAGAAAAATTCAAATTCTGCTGGTCTGCAGAAAATATATCATTATTTTGCTGCTTCGCGGATTTTTATGCGTGAAAGTATTTTTCCAGAATTGCATAACCCTGAATTTTGAGCTTATAACAAAAACAAAGAAAACCCAGAAGATTCACTCGTGTTTCTCCGTATTCGATTTTATCCATAAATGCCAGCTCTGTATATACAGAAATCAGACCTAAGTCAAGATCAAGAAGGTTTTTGAATGGAGGCATGTTCCAAGAAACAATAAAGACGCCAATCTGAAAAACTTACGGTACGTAATTTTATGTAATAGCCTGCTGCTCTTACGCGAGCTATAAGCCTATAACACAATATTTTCCCCGTTGAAGTATTTTCATGTATGCAGAAATATTGATTTTTTCCATGACGAATGGACTTCTGCATGTGCTAGTATATTTCTTGGAAACTAGACAGATTCGCTGAAAAGACTGTGGAGAGCGTAAACTCTTTCTACAATGCAGTAAAAAAGAACGTACCCGAGAACGAGGAAGACAACAAGCTCTCCAAGGAATCATCGCCACCATAGGAGCTAACTTGAACAGGAGCAGCATAAGAGGGTGTAGCGGCAGGGGCGCTGTAGCTCTGTCTCACTGGTGCAGCATAAGACGGCGTGGGGCTGGAGACAGGGGCGCTGTATGACTGCTGTGGTGCGGAGTAGGATTGCTGAGGCGCTGGAGCTGGTGCTGAGTATGACTGCTGGGGCGCAGAATAGCTTTGTTGTGGTGCAGGGGCAGGAGCACTGTGGGATTGTTGAGGAGCTCCGTAAGATTGCTGCGGTGCTGGTGCTGGTGCAGAGTAAGATTGTTGAGGTGCTGGTGCGGAGTAGGATTGCTGTGCCTGGGGAGCAGGTGCTGAGTATGACTGCTGGGGAGCTGCTCGTGGAGCCGAGTAGGATGACTGTGCTGCTGGAGCAGAGTAGGATTGCTGAGGAGCGGGTGCTGAGTATGATTGCTGCGATGCAGGAGCTGAGTAAGACTGTTGGGGTGCAGGGGCAGAGTAAGACTGTTGGGGTGCAGGGGCAGAGTAGGACTGCTGAACAGGCGCGCCATACGATTGCTGAGGGGCAGGGGCAGAGTAAGACTGCTGTGGCTGCGGGCGGGATGGAGCAGAATAGCTTTGTTGTGGGGCAGCAGCAGGAGCAGAGTAGCTCTGTTGGGGAGCAGGGGCTGGAGCAGAATAGCTCTGCTGGGGAGCAACTTGATAGCTCTGTTGAACTGGAGCTGCGTAAGATGGAGTTGGGCTCTGCTGGACTGATGGGGCACCATACGAATTCTGTGGCTGTTGGGAACCTCCGGAGTAGGAGTTGCTCTCTGATGAAAGGGGCTTGAATCCTCCGTAGGAAATCACAGGTTCTTTGAAAGCGCCTTGTTGCTGGGGTGCTGAATATGATGACTCAACTTGTGCTGGTGCTGAATATGACTGCTGCTGCTGTTGAGCCTGTGGAGCTCCATAAGAATCTTGGACGCCAGTTGCGGTGATGTCTTGCTCGTCGCCATATCTAAAATAAATGAATAATTTATATTTTAGTTTCAACCAAAAATGCAGCAAAAATACGAAGTCTTCCTTTTTTTGCTGTTCACTGCGGAGAAAAATATTTCTCTTGGGATTATCATGATTTCAAACATTTTCCTATAGCTATTTTCCACTTCGCAGCAGTACCTCGACTTTTTTTTTTACAGGCTAGCACAGTTTGTTTCAAGTAACTGTCACCCACACCAAAATTAAAGAGATATCTCTAGGTAGGCTTAGCAAGAGCAATTTGCAATGTCCACCTTCTGCCCAAAATAATGCCATTGACAGAAGGTTGAAAGAATGCAGCATCCAGAGATTTTGTTTTTCTTTGCACCACAAAACTTTTTCGAGAAAAACGATACGAGTATATATATTCACATATTTCCAGACGGGCTACATTCACTATAGTTCAACTTATTTTAAATAAGAATTTTCTGGGACATGAATTTCGCATAAATTCTGGTTCTGCCATGGAAAGGTTTGCTTTTTATTGCGAATTATTCATGGCAGCATACGTAGCGATATGTGATTTACATTAACTGTACGCTTCATTGCAGACAGTTCCATAGATTTGAATTTTTTTTAAATAAATGTTCTCTAGTTTTGCGTTTCTCAGGCCAGAAACGCATTAAATAGTAAATAATGCTATCACGAGATTGGTTTTCCATCATGTACCCTTGCTGTTCATTAGAGGTGTAGCTGCTTGCAGGCCCTGACAAGGTAAGGTCCGAGGTATCATAAGCTAGTCTAATCTCATTTGCAGGGGCAGAATAGGACTGCTGATCAGGAATCGGGCCAAGAGTGTCCAAGTCGATCTCGAAGCTTGCTGAATTGCTGTAGTCTGATTGTTGAGCGGGAGATGAGTATGACTCCTGCGGCTGGGAAACTGCTGCTGCGGGCGCTGTGTAGGATTGCTAAGAAAACACAAAGATTAATAAGATCACTTTGACTCATGAAAATTCAGATTCAGTTCATATTTACCTGAATACCTTGCACAGTTGGAATATTAGCTAATTTATTATCATACATGCTGCGGTATCTTTGTTTGAACAAGAGCCTCCGGAAATTCGATGATTGTCGCATCACTAAAAATGTTGTTACGTTAGTTTAAACGGTTGTAGTGTTCTAAAAATTGTGCCTTACATTTCATCATGTTATCTTCGAAATCGAATAGAAAATTCTAAATGTAAGAATCTGCTAAGTAAAAAATAACCAACCTCTACTGGTGCGGAGTATGACTGTTGAGGTGCTGAGGTTGGGATGTTATATGACTGTTGGGGAGCTGCAGCAGGGGCACTATAAGATTGCTGAGGAGCAGCTGCAGGGGCACTGTAAGATTGCTGAGGAGCAGCAGCAGGAGCACCGTATGATTGCTGAGGGGCAGCTGCTGGAGCACTGTAAGATTGCTGTGGAGCAGCTGCAGGGGCACCATATGATTGTTGGGGAGCTGCAGCAGGGGCACTGTAAGATTGCTGAGGAGCAGCCGCTGGAGCGCTGTAAGATTGCTGAGGAGCAGCCGCTGGAGCGCTGTAAGATTGCTGAGGAGCAGCCGCTGGAGCGCTGTAAGATTGTTGAGGAGCAGCTGATGGTGCACCATAAGATTGCTGGGGAGCCGGAGCAGAGTATTCTTGGGACGCAGGGGCGCTGTAAGATTGCTGAGGAGCAGGAGCCGGTGCGCTGTAAGATTGCTGAGGAGCAGCTGCTGGTGCACTGTAAGACTGCTGAGGTGCTGGTGCACTGTAAGATTGCTGAGGAGCAGCCGACGGTGCACTATAAGACTGCTGAGGTGCTGGTGCACTGTAAGATTGCTGAGGAGCAGCGGATGGTGCACTGTAAGACTGCTGAGGAGCAGCGGATGGGGCGCTGTAGGACTGTTGAGGAGCAGATGCTGGTGCTCCGTAGGACTGCTGTGGCGCTGGTGCAGGTGCAGGCGCATTGTAGGATTGCTGAGGTGCTGGTGCACTGTAAGATTGCTGAGGAGCCGGCGCAGAACCGCTGTAAGATCTGAAAAATGTAAAAACCATTGAAAAGCTATAATTTGTGGCGATGGAATTCACAAGTTCGTCATCTACGCCAATGGAAAATTTGCGTTATGCATAAAAAATCCTGGCATTCCTAAAGAAAAGCACTATGAATTCGGAATACTTTTTTTTAAACTTCAATGAGGCACAATCCATCGCCCGAGCATAAATTCTCGTTTATATTTATTTTTTTAGAAATCTACCAAAAAACGTACGTGATTCCAAATTTGTTATTCAGACACTTTTGAATATTTTCTTTTGCTACTTCATCCAACTCAACAAATACTGTACTGTAGCCAGTGTGCTGGTGGAGGTTTGATGCAGATGAAATCATGCTGACTTCCCGAAGCGGAGACAATTTTAAGCATCATTGTGCAGGAATAATTGCATATTTTTAAAAACATGGAAATTACCAGCTTTCGTGGAAAACAAGTCACTGTATGCAGAATTTGCCCTTCCAGGTTAATGCACCCTTTAATTTTAATCAGGTGCTGTCTTGCGAGGCTGCGGTAATACGCCGCTTTAAATTTCAACCTGATGATCGAGTTATCCAGTTCATTTATCCGGGAAAAAATGCGACCTACATGTCGGTAATTGTTTGGCATTTTACATTCACGCACCCCTGAGTGCTGGGCACCGAGTAAGAGGACTGCGGGGCGCTCTGCGTCCTCAGACTAATACTCGGACCCGGCTGACTGTAAGACGACGACGGGGCGCTTGGTCGGGCGGCGCTGTAAGTTTGCTGAGGCGCCGGTGCCGAGTAAGACTGCTGAGCTGCTGGAGCAGCATAAGACTGTTGCGGCTGCGACAGGCTGCTGCCGTATCCGCTGATGGAGTTGCTTCCTGTGGATCCATAGCCAGAAGATCCGCCGGAAGCGAATCCACCGGCACCAGAGCCGGATGATCCAAAACCTGCATCGGTTAGACAAGAAGGTTAATTAGACAACCTTTCTTCAGCCAGATTGGGATGCTTCTTTCTTTTCATTCTGAACTGGGATCGCTCGCCAAAATGTTAAACGCTCGTGCTTTGTAAATTAACTCTCCTATATGGTCTGATTCAAACTAAAAATTTGATCGCATAATTAACCTCCGATATGTCCAACATCCGCCGAACGCTTCTTAGGGTGACTTTGTAGAATATAAGCACTTCCAGCGGGAAGTTCATCCAATGTATACTCTGGAAAATTAAAAGAAAATAACTCAACAGCACATTTCTTCGCGCCAATTAAATTTCCAACATTTTAAAATCAGAAAATGAATCGAGATGCTGTAATCGTCTCCTGTCTATTCTTCGACATCAATGGAAATGCTTATTCTTCGCGTGCAATGCAGGGATCCTCTAATTAAATTAAATTTGTACTGGCAATAAATATGCACGCAGGTAAATGGAATACAGTATTTCCTTCCATCTGCCAAAATACTGGAAGAAATTTTTAGATGTGCGGGAGAAAGTTAGTCAGATTATCTTCACTGGATTGACATGTATTTTTTTCGGAAAAAAATACTCATTTGAGATCAGGGATGGATACTGCACTGATAGCGAATCATTTTTAAATTTGTTCAACTGTAGTCCTTTGATTTATCTAAGTAGTCGGATAATGAATGTTAGGACGTTATAGAGCTTTTCAAAGCGATAATTTCTGAATTCGGATTTATTTTCATTTCTCACCACTGTCACTGCTAGTTGGCCTCTTGTCGGCGCAGACTGCCGTCAGACCAACGGCGATAAATATTATCAGCATCTGGAATAAATAATTGAAAAATGAAACAATTTTTGGCAGAATGTTTTTACTGTATGTCACTCGAGGATAATTCGTAGGAGCCACCTTGAGAGTACTTGGCCCACTCCGTGACCCGAAATAATTGACCTCTTTTATTGCACCTTTCAGGAAGGAGATCATTCTGAGAATGCTGCACGTTTTGTTTTTTCTTGCTTATATTTATGTGACTCTTCGGGAGATTACGTGGTGACCTCTTGACTCCCTCACCACTTATGCAACAGGTCAAGCGAACTTACAGTTGCCGTTTCGGTTTTCTTCCGGGATCTAACGTTACTTTTCCTGCCCATGAAGCTGATTCTCTCTTACATCACGGACCCAGCCAAACCTCGTGACTGACACGAAGTTCCTCGTAATTCTTCATTTCGTGTTTGGAAAAAAAAAAGGTTTGCATTCGGGTAATGCTTGGTTGCGAGAGGCTCTGTATTTCAAGGGCGGGGGCACGATTGTGTCAGTTCCATATAATCATCGTATCTGAATTTCATGATGCCACATTCACTGTCAGGTTTACACGAAATTGCCCATCCCAAACATTATTTGGGCAACGCGGGCGATTATTCAGCGACATTATAATTTATCAGATGCATTTTTTAAATAAAAAATGACGCGGCTAGCGGCACACAAACAATCTTGCGTCATGAATATTCTAAGAGATTCCAATGAATAAACGATTTCACGGGTGAAAAGAGCATGTCAACAAATTATATGCAGGAGGGTAACATAGACACAATTGCTTGTGGACACAAGAGCATGTTACCAAAGCATGATGAGAAAAAAACAAAATACGACAGATGAGCACGTAGAAATGTATGCAGCAGCCAATATCTATGTTCAAACAGAGCGTAGCGCATATCAACCATAGAAATAATTTTTGCAGTCATGAAAGTAAGTACCAGAAGGAACCGGAAAGTTTATGAAACGTACTTTCGAGTTGTGTTACGAAATGTTAGGTGCAAGAAGGTTGCAAGAAAGTTTAAATAATTGCAAAAAGAAAAATGAAGATCAATTATAGTAGCAATCGAAAACCTCAAAGACCTGTTCACCTATTTTCTCTTCATTGGGCAGTTCACAGAGCAAGACAGCTCATAAAGCTGCATTCAAAATACTAGGAAATCTAAAATTTTGTATAAACATTAGAAAGATTGTCCACTTGCCTTCATCTTGAGTTCGTCGAGACGCTCAGCAATCCAACGGGTGCGACACTAAATTGAAATCGTTCACGGCACGAATTTCCTGATTATACGAGATTGAAATTTTTTTTGAATGGAACAAACACTTAATAAATTTTTTTTTAAGAAAGCAATACCGCCTTGAAAAAAAAAAGTATTGAGCGAACAGTTCCGCGCACGCGAACGTTTGAACCGTGACTGATCTTTGGATCAAGAACAGTCACGATTATATACATGCGGGATATTTTACTTTTTTGGAAACTGTTGTCGAGATTTTTTTGATTGCGAAAAGAAGCATTCCAACTCGTCCGTATTGACACCAACTCGGAGTTTTACTATTGAGAGACGATAAAAAAGCACGTGAGTCTCTCGTGGGCTCATCTCATCTGCCCGCTCACGTAGTCCTTGGGTACATCCTTGACAATCCCGACTTGATATGATTGAAATTTTAAAAATCGTCAATCTGTTTTACAATCCTATCCCGCGGCGAAGTCATAAAGGAGAAATATTACCGTGGTTCGCGGTGCCGTCAGTTGCTCAATGAAAACCCGGGAAAACGCACCGATTGCCCAATCCTCTGAAAAATCTCCACCCGAAAAAAGGAATATACTGCAAATCAAATTCTACGCAATTTATCATTGAAAATTATTTTGTAAGATACCGGCTTTTTAAATATCATTGCAAAAATGCGTCCCCATCAACAATCCCAATGTGGGCTGAAGTGGTTCACCTGAAGAAAGGTCGAAATTATAACAAGAAACTTGTATGCTTGTTCATTACATCCTCGATGGAACTGTAACCCACGCTCTCTTAGTTATTTCTGGTTGTAAAAATCTTTATAAATTAGAAAGGGAAAGTTTTTGAAAGTTATGTGACTTATTTTCCGGCTGGACTTTAAATCCACGTAGGTTGTTCATGCTTACAGGATCAAGAGGTAAATTTGCCAGACCATGAAGTTCACGATTTGTTTGATTGATTTAGACAACATTCCTGACGCTTCATTCAGAATATTTCCGCAAGCTATGTTCCGATTACCCATCAGTACCAGAACGATGTTTTCTCCGGATGGACAATTTCTTCCGGGCAGGCAAAAACATTTTACTGCAATCTGCTAGGAAGGCAGACCAACTTTCCAAATTGTACGAGTTCATTAAATTCCTGATTGCAGGTGCGCGACAAACAACAATTTTTTTTGCACACAGTGTCGTTAGCAATGATTGGGAATGTGCGTCAGCAGCGAATTTTCTCGTGGATCCCAGCAAGGGGCGAAAGCGATGATGACTGCGGAAAGAAAGCGAGTCAACAAACTCATCAGCGACTCATTCATCTCCATCTGCAGTCATCCAGTCTCGCTTGCATCGATTTACTTCATACACCCAGAGAATGCAATTAAAAAAATAAGTGTCGAAACTTTGAGGAAGAAGCTTTCGGTTGGAATCTGCTTCATTTGCGTTTGGCTTTTAAGCGCAGGAACACCTGCCGATTTTTTTTTTCTCGTTTTTGAGGAAGATTAGTGCTGGTCCTGTGGATGACCAAACGACACACTGGCTTGATGAAGTTCTATTGTACCCTGCTCAACCACCCGTCCTTGAGGTACGCAAGAAGTCAAGGAAGGAAATCCGGAAAATAGCACCCTGATGCAACACTCGAGGAATGCGCTTTTCTGCAGCGTTTGACTGGCGGTGAAAGGTGAGCAGGATGCAACATCCGATTCTGTCTTTTGCAGTTCCCCGAGGATTCTTCCGAAACATTCTCACTTTCGAAGATTTTTATTTATATCGGTAAACTCTCTCCGCAAAGATTTAGTGTGTTCGTATAACGATTATTTTAGATCCCAACGGGGTTTCTCTCCATGTTATAGGGGTTCTCCACAAGTAATTCTCTCTGTAATTAATTTTTTTTGGTCCCTCGTTATTCGTTGTAGTGAGTATCCCTGTACTGTATATCAAAATCCCAGTACTTCAAAAACCGCCGTAAAATTTAAGAAGTAATTTCCACCTACATTGCTCGAAAAATAAAATGCCAGCCAAAAAAAAGCTCAACTGATACACTGAAAAATGGAGATTTAACCCTAGTTTCGTTGCTCTTGATAATATTTTTCCTAGTTCAAAAAAGGCGGTCTCTTTCTATGCCATATCGCATTTTTAACGAACTCTTCGACGCATCTCAAGAAAATAGCTTCGACCGAATGCAGTATTTCATCGATAAAATGGGCATGACTCACTGTCAAATTTTCCACCACTAATCGTACCTCAGAATAAATCCAGGGAGGATTACATAATTTACATTGATCATTACTGGAATATAATCCCATTTCTGCTTGCCTTCCTGAAGTAGTGCCGCAGGAAATCATATTGAATGCGTGGAAAATTGTGAAATACAACATTTTGCTTCTGAACTTCTCGGATGGGAACCTTTCATGATTGGCAGCTGCTGAACATTTTGATTGATTTAATTATTTCTGTCGGACTTTTAAGAAGCCCGTCGCGAGGAAAACCAAATTATGCAATTCAATTTCTGCTTTTCTTCCTGGAGACGTGCCGCAGGAAATCGTATTGAAAGTATGAAAAATTGTGAAATGCAGCATTTTGTTTCTACAATTCCGGGATGATAACCTTTCACGCTTGGGAAATGGTAAAAATTCCGATTGATTTAAAGATTTCTGTCGGACTTTTCGGAAGCCCGTCTCGAGGAAAACCAAAATCAACGACGTGCGAATAAACAAGCCGAATAATGGAGCGCAGGGCGCGTTATTGAACCACGCGTTGATGCAACAACTCCGCTCAGCTGAACTGCAGCTTCTTCTTATAATTGTAGTCCGACCCGAGTGAGGTGAAAAGAAGAGAGATGGGAAACAGACGACCGCAAAAGTTGCTCAATGAGACGAAAGAAAAAAAGCCGCGCGATGACAAAATCCGAGCCTCGCGAAAACACCTGGTTTGCCTGTAGTCAAGAACATTTGCAGCGTACTCGATTTGGGTGACATGAGCAGGTAAATCTCCTGTTTCTTCCGCACAGAAACGCACATTTAATCCGAATTCGCCCAGTTTTTACAGACTCGAAACAAATGGAAGGGGGCATAATGCAGGAACAACTCGCAGAAGATATTAAACTCGGGTTTCATCATACTGTACCTCAGAAGATGAAGAAAAGCGATGAACCACAGTGACGATTATCTTTTTTTTTTGAGACACGCACAGAAGCGAAAGGAATATGTGTAATTGTTTTACATTTCCAGCATTTATTGCCGTTCATTTTCATTTTTAAGATCACTTTGGATACGATTACTTGAATTGATACTTCGTAGAGTTCGAGAATTCATTCGCAATAAAATCGGCATTTCACTTCTGCTGCAGTACATAAAATATTTTTGAATTGCGTATTAATTCTCATTTCAGTCAAAGGGCATTTGATTACACGGCGGAATGTTTTTAATGGATATATTGATCCCCACTTTCTACGCATTTATGAATTGAGCATTTCACACGTCAGTTGGAGAAATCCCCGGGTCATATGGAGTCACGGCACACTCTCACTTTGATACTTGAATGATTCTTCGGATTCAAAGAGATATTTTCCATTAGTTTCACGTTTTCACACCTCTCTAGCAAAAATTACTTCCTAAATCATGTTCATAAAACACAAATCATGCACTGTTCCACTTTTCAAAACACGCAACGTCGTCGAGTAAGTAAGTTAAGCTTTACTTCGAAATTAATTTTCTTAGGAGTTCGTGTTCATCGAACGAATCTCAATTAGAGAATCTCCAGATTAATCAAATAATCTTTTGCCAAT